TGAGAGGGTAAAATATGGAGTGGGAATAGACAAAGCAAGATCATCACAAAGGTATTTAATCCATTGTAGTTCTCAAGCAAGAGAAGCTAAAGCCCTATACTCAGCTTCTGTAGAGCTTCTAGACACAGTTGTTTGCTTCTTTGCTTTCCATGAAACTAAAGATTCTCCCATGAAAACACAGTATCCGGTTATAGATTTTCTGCTATCAGAACATGTGGCCCAGTCAGAATCTGAAAAGGCTTGAACCTTGAGAACATTATTTGCTGCATAATGTAAACCCAATCCTGGAGAACCCTTTAAGTATCTAAGAATTCTCATGGCAGCTTGTAAATGTGGAGTTCTGGGATTAGACACAAACTGACTGACTTGTTGTACTGAGAAAGCAATGTCAGGTCTAGTATTTGTCAAATATAGAAGTCTGCCAATTAATCTTCTGAAAGATGTTGGATCAGTTAGCAATTCACCATCAGTAGCATTTAATCTGATAGAAGCATTTGAAGGAGAAGGAGCTGGTTTGCAACCTATCAATCCAAATTCAGAAATGATCTCTAAACAATACTTTCTCTGGTTGAGTACTAACCAAGTTTCTGATCTTGCCACTTCAAGTCCTAAAAAGAATTTTAAGTCTCCAAGGTCTTTTATATGAAATTGGTTATGAAGATAGATTTTGACTGCATTTATTTCTTCTAAGTTGTTTCCAGTTAAAACAACATCATCAACATAGACCAATAAAGCAGTAAAAGATGATTCAGATTGCTTGATGAATAATGAATAATCTGAATTGCTTTGAGTATATCCAAGCTGAATGAGAGAAGAAGTCAGTTTTTGATTCCACTGCCTGCTAGCCTGCTTTAAACCATAAAGAGACTTTTGAAGTTTGCAAACCAAACCAGATTTAGAAGGAAAAAATCCTGGAGGAGGTTTCATATACACTTCTTCATGGAGATCACCATGTAAGAAGACATTATCAACATCTAACTGATGCAAATGCCAATTTTTAGAAACTGCAATGGCAAGAATGAATCTGACAGTAGTCAATTTGGCTACTGGAGAAAAAGTTTCAAAAAAATTTACCCCCTCTGTCTGTGTGAATCCTTGTGCTACGAGTCTGGCCTTATATCTTTCCACAGTTCCATCTGATTTGTGCTTAACCTTGTAGACCCATCTACTACCAACAACAGGTTTTCCTGGAGGTGGTGCAACCATGGACCAAGTTTCATTTGCTTGTAAAGCTTCAATCTCTGTCATCATAGCCTTTTTCCAACAATCAGATTGCATTGCTTCCTTGAAGGATTTGGGCTCAGAAACAGAAGATATGGACAAACAGAAAGAAGCATGAGCAGAAGAACAATTAGAATACGAAAGGTAAGATTGTAGTGGATAAGAAGTAGAGAAATTGGAGGTGGATGTTGAAATGTGACCACAATGATAGTCAGATAGATAAGAAGGTGGTTTGACGGTTCTTGTTGAAGTTCTTTTGGAAATTCCATTGTTTGTTATGGACAGATCAGTTCCTTCACTGCTATTTGATGAAGCAGGAGGTGATGTATTATCAGAAGTGAAGTATTGATGAAAGTCTAGATTCTGACTACAAAACTCAGTATCAATTAAGAGGTCAGAATTTGAAGAATGAATTTGAGATTGAAGATAATCAGTATCACTTTTATCTGAGGCAAATGGAAAGACAGTTTCATAGAATACAACATTTCTAGAAACTAAAATAGAGAATGAATGAAGATTGAAGAGTAAAAAACCCTTGGTTCCAGTTTTGTATCCAAGAAAAATACATTTGGAAGCTCTTTTGTCAAACTTGGTTCTCCCAGAACTTAATGTATTAGCAAAAGCTAAACAACCAAAAGTTTTCAGATTTGAGATATCAGGTAAGGAACCAAACACTAATTCATAAGGTGATCTGTCTTGCAAAAAGGGTGTTGGTAACCTATTGATTATATGAACAGATTGTCTGATGGCATATGACCAGAAATGAAGAGGAAGTTTGGCTTGGAAAAGAAGACTTCTAGCAACATTTAGAATATGTTGATGTTTTCTTTCAACAATTCCATTTTGCTGAGGTGTTTCAGGACATGAGGTTTCATGAAATATACCATGTTGCTGAAAGAATTCTTTAAGGAAGAATTCTTTACCATTGTCAGACCGTAGTTTCTTAAGTTTGGTAGAGAATTGATTTTGAATGAGAGTTATGAAAGTTGGAAGAACAGTCTGAATTTCAGACTTATTTTTGAGTAAATAAACCCAAGTGAATCTGCTGTGATCATCAACAACAGTTAAGAAGAATCTGTAACCTTCAAAAGAGGGTACACCATATGGTCCCCAAATATCAACATGAATCATTTCAAAGAAAGAAGCAGAAATGATGTTACTAAGAGGGAAAGAGAGTTTTTTTTGTTTAGCATAATGACAAGTATCACAAGGTTGTGAAGAAGAAAAAGAAATTTCATTATATCTGGAACACAACAGTTTCAACACTTTATTAGAAGTATGTCCAAGTCTATTATGCCACAAGATAGAACTATCTATACTGTTTACAATGGAAGTATTTTCAGAATTTATTCTATCTAAGACTTTAGAAGATTCTACAGGAGAACTGATCTTAGGAGAACTGATCTTGTCCAAGTCACTGGAATTCTTCAGGTGAAAAAGCCCATTGTACATTTCAGCTACTCCAATCTTCTTGAAATTGGAGCTCTGCACAATGAAGCACTGATTAGAAGAGAAAAGAAGGAAGCAAGAAACGGTTTTCAGCAACTTGGGGATAGAAATAAGATGAACAAAGAAAGATGGAATGTAAAGGACATCTTTAAGAAACAAATTTCCTAGTTGAATGTCACCAGAATAGGAGGCTAGAATGGAACTGTTGTTAGGTAACCTGACATGAATAGATTTAATTCTTTTAAGGGAAAGGAAAGAGGATTTGACAGGACATATATGATCTGTGGCACCACTGTCAAGAATCCAGGTAGAGGAAGAGATAATGTTACCTGAACCTTCACTGTGGAATTGCTGAATATGATTGACAGAAGAATGGGATGAGCTTTCTTTGTTTTGTTGAAGCAAGGCTATGATGGCATTGTATTGATCTTTAGAAAGTGTGAACTGACCATGATTAGCATCAGCAACCAAGGAACCATGTTGTGAAGCAGCTTCAGTATCTACTTGAGCCAAACTTGCAGAAGATTGAAAACCTGAAGAGTTGTTTTTGCCTCGAGTCCTGTAACCAGCTGGAAATCCATGCTTATGATAGCATGTCTCAACAGTATGATTAGTCTTGCCACAGTGAGTGCATAATTTGTTTCCTCTTCCAAAAGACTTGTTAGAAGAAACATTGCTTTTGTAATTATTCTGAGTGGTTTTTGACACAGCAAATTGATTCAAAATCTCTTTTGAGTTGGTGAAGGCTACTGTATCATTTGGTAAAGTCAAGATAGAATCACCAGAAAATTCTCTTTCATGTTGAAGAACTAGGTTAAAAATCTTAACCATTAATGGCATAGGATCAATTATCATGAGTTGTGATCGAATCTGTGCATACATGTCATTCAATCCTCTTAAAAACCTGATTATGCAGTCATCTTCTCTTTCTTTCTTCAATTTCTTAATGAGATCACAGGTGCAGGGAACAGTACAAGTACAGATCAAAGTGCAGCGATATAATTCCAATTCTTTCCAAAGAATATTCAGACGAGTATAGTACTCAGAAACTGTAGATGTACCTTGCTTGCAACTCTGAATCTGATCTTGTAAGTCAGCAATTCGAAACTTATTTGAATGCGAGAAACGTTCTTGAAGATCTTTCCAGATTTCTGATGCAGTATCCATCCACATCACAGATTGTTTGATTGAGGGGCTCATTGATCGAATAAGCCAAGACATCACCATCCGATTGCATCGTTTCCATGCCTCTGACAGAGAATCCGAGCTCGGTGGACAAGATAGGGTTCCAAGAACAAAACAATCCTTGTTCTTGGATTCCAAAGCAACGATAACATCTCGTTTCCATTGATGGTAATTGCTTTCTGTTAGTGGCGGAGAAACAAGAACAGTAGCTGGATTTTCTCCAGGGTGAAGAAAGTATGGATTCACAGGGTTGATGATATGATCTGGTTGAGACATGATTTCTGAGAAATGCGGAATAGATGATGAACAGTAAGCTCTGATACCATGAACGATTAATAGAAGAGAGAAGAGGAAAGAAAATTCATCTTATTCATCATACCTTCACCAGTAATGATCAATACCTTATATACAAGAATGATTCAGCTTAACTAGTTACAATAACAACCGACTAACAACTAACTGAAATAACAAAAAGAAGAAAAAAATCTTGGTCAACCATCCATATCCAGTCAGCTGCCCAGTCAGCTATCCTAATAATTTTCCTATAAATACTGTTATTCTTAAAAATGTTAAGTGTACACGTTTTTGTATATAAGTTTGTGCATTTTGTAAACAATTTTTCTATATTACAGCCATTGTCGGGCAATTGTTCTGAAAAATGTAATAATTGTCTATAATTTAAATGAAATGTTTACTGTACAGATAAATGTTGCATAGCGTGTTCACAAAATATCTTCACCAAGTAACTTCAATTACTTGTATGGCAAAAAATGTTGTTTAATATGGTGCGCTGAAAATAATTTTAGAACAGCCTCGGTTTTCGTAAATTAAACAGTGTTTAAGATAGGAGTATTATTGTTAATACTATTGTCTTTGTAGTGTTATTGCTAAATTTTAAAACTAACAGCTCGACTATGCACAAAATTTTAAAAATAAACAACTTGACAAAACACCTACTCGTATTAATCTTTTTTTATTACCCCGTACTACTCGTATTATTATTATTATAATCCACTCCGTATTTATTATTAATAGTATACTTTAATGATGGACATGCCATAAGGCACGACTTCTCATGAACCCGGTTCACCAAATAATAATAAAATAATAAAAAATTGTACCAGCCAGCAACCAAATTGACAGTTCCAATTTCTTTATCTTTATTAGCCCAAACAAACTCTCTCTCTCTCAAAGTCTCTCTCCAATTTCTTTATTAGCCCCAACCCTCTCTCTCACTTCCTCCCTCTCTCCATTTCTCAGAGAAAATATCCTTGGATTGCTTAGCTCAGACTCAGCTACCTTCATTCAATCCCATCCTTAATTTCATCATGAAGAAGAACAATCAGGAAACATCATTAATCAACAAGGAGAATCAGCAGCCAAACGTTGTTGGCGGCGAAGATTCCTGTCGAACTCCGACCAGCCAGCGCGACAGGATTCCGGCCGCCGTCATCTGTCCGCCGGCGCCCCTGAGACCGAAGAGGACGGTGCTGGGCAAGAGGAAAGTTTCCCAGATTCAGTTCTTCGAGAACAGTAATGGGCGTAAGGAGATTGAGGTTTTCTTCGCGTCCTTCTCTGAGCTTCCAAGGGTTGCACCCTCTGCTTTGAAGAAGAGACTTTTCGTAAGTCAATGAAGCCTTGACTAACACTCGGAAGTACATAATTCTTTCCAGTTTTTTTTTTTGAATTTCCTTTTATTTACGGTCTCCTCAATCCTCATGTATTTATATAATTAATAAATATGTACGCCTTAATTAGATTTCTGGGATTTACTTTATATAATAAAAAAAAATCAAAAGAGATGGTATCTTTTTTTAGTTTTTTTTTGGATTTGGGCGTATTTGAATTAACCATAGATGTAGTTTTGCTAGATTTATTTACCTCGAGGCATACACATTTATCAATATCAGCTGATGTACTCTTGTTCTTATTGAATGTTCTGTTTATTCATGAATTGGGTCTCTATTTCATTTATTGTTCCTTATTTAATGAATTGAAAAAACTGTAAAGAAGTAAAAAAAAACGTTCGCCGTAAGGGTGAAGGAATTACTGAAATATCATACCTTCTCTATATAAGAATTAAATAACCATTTAATGAAGTTTGAATAATCTTCTAATCTTGATAACTATTCTGTGGTTGAGTTATCTCCATTCTCCAGCCCTCGTTCTTCACAAATTTATACCACCAATAAATTACAAAGTTTTTTTTTGAAGCACAATAAATTACAAAGTTAATTAGCAATTCTACACTTGAATTTTGAACATTTGAACTTGCTTAATAATTAATAATACACCGATGTATAAAGCAAACTTTGTTGATCTAAAGTTTGTGAAATATTCTTAGAGAAAAGTTTGGTATCGCCGAATTTTGTTTTGTTTTGCTTTTTTAAACAAAAGCCAGAAAGTATTAACTATTAATTAAACAAACCGTGGCAAATTAAGCAGCTTAATGCATGAATTGATAAAGTAAATCCAGAAAGGGCTTTTGAATTGCTGCTTCAAGTTAAGGTACAATATTTTTAATATACAAGTAAACTATATCTAATCAATTTAGTGTTTTCTATAATAATCAAATATTTGAGGAAATTCTCTAAATAAGACTGAATTTGTGGAAACATTACATTTAATCTTTATTGGGTTTAGTAATAAACTGGTAATTAACTGTAGTAAAAGATGCTCCGTACTAATTGATTTACAATAGTGGATGTTTTTTTACCCCTTTTCACCATTCCACATAATGGGCCAGGTAGTTCAGTACTTCAGGATGTTGAATGGACGAAATGTTTGGGCTTTAGCTTTATTATGCGGAGTATTTGAAAAAAAGATGCTCCTTAGTTTCAAATTAAAGCTATTCGCATAATTTCCGAAAGTTTTCATTTTTTTGTGCGGGAACTTTTGTAGCTTTATAAAAGCAATGTTTTCTATCTATCCTTTATGAAGTATGTCTGTCTTTCCTTTTACCTCTTTTTTCTATTTGTCTATATTAATTTTAAGTTTTTACTACAGTAGTATATACGAAGTATGATTCTAAAATCGCTATAAGACTAATAACTCATTCCTTACTTTTGGATTATCTTTTTTATTATTTGGTTAATTTAATAAATTGCATGCGTGGGAGTACTTACTGTTAAGTTCGGAAAATACTGTCATGTTTGAAGTCTGGTACTGCCAAAACATGGCAGTAAGTAGTCCTATTTTAGAAATAAAAACATGACAGGCCTATTGTGGAATTTTCGAACCTTTTTAGTCTCATTTCGTGTAATATTCTCATATTTTAACCTTGTATCTAAATTTCGTTTACACATTTAAGATCATTTATATTAATTAAAAACAACTTATTTGATCGGATGTGTTTGAGTTTGGTTTGATTTACTCAAACATGGAAAGAATTGCAAGTGAAATCATACTAAACTACGGAGTATCAAACTTCCTATCGATGATGTTTTTACTCAGACTTATTTCAGTTTCAGAACAAAGTTAAACAGACTAGAGTAGACTTAAATAGATTACACTAGATCAGATTAAAAAATCCAATTTAAGTAAAAACATCAAATTCATTTAGTTATATCGTTTTGTTACGAGTATAATGGTTAAAAATGCAATCACCGTATATTTTTTTTGAAATCTATCTAATCTATTACTCCGTATATTATACGAAGTACCTTTCATATTAAGGTTAACATACTTGAATTGGGATTGAATTGGAACGTCAAACTTTGTATTTGAGAGTGTCACACTAATAGCATGGCAAGGTACTTGTCAAAAAAATGCAATCATTGCTGAAATTGCTGAAAGTAAGTTAAATTGCGCATTCATGGATTAATATCTTTCGTTCCCAATAGGCCAATATATAGCGGAGTAGTCCAAGACGCATCAAACAAATTAATAAACGTCTCTACCACTGAATAACATGAGTATATGACACGAGTGTTTGGGTATTACATCACTCTCTTCTACCTCTACGTGCATAGTTATATGAGTACATATTTCATGCAACTTTAATCCATTGAAATAAGACAACTCAACTTGAACCACCTTCTATTTTGTAAATTTATCACATTATTATTAGGGGAAATTTTTGAAATAGGAGTAAGCCAGTAATTATTGTCAATTTTGAAAAAAATTGTCCTGTTTAAAATCTGGTAATATTTATTCATATTTAAGAAATTAAAACATTGTTGTTTTATTTTGTATTCACAAACGTTTTGACTCCCACTTGGGACAATCTCTTTTGTTTTTACGGCCATATAAAATGTGGGTTCATGAGCTCCTACCTATGTCTTTTGTGGTCAAACTTCAGCAATAATTTTTTTAAATTATAAAATGAAAGTAAAATAAACTTTCTGTGTCAATCAATATCAATAAATTCATAAAAGTACAAAATTATACGGAGTAGTTCTCTTAAAATATGTCAAACAGAAACATGGTCAAAATTGAACATCTTCAATAAAAATGTCATTCATTATCTTGATGGAGGGAGTACTGTAAATGTATAATACATACAGAGTATGTTATACTCCATATCCAATTTTATTTCCTTTTGAAGCTAAGTTTGGAATAAACTTTTTATAGAATGATTTGTTAATAATGCATTGATACATACAACAAAGTCAAAATAGTATGCCAGTTCACTACTAGAAAAGTCTGAAATAGAGAGGAACGTGAGAGGAAAAGAAGTTCGTATCTAATTTAGAGAGGAAATTTGCAAGGAATTTTTCTAGTTAGTCATGTAATTGGATTAGAAAGGAATCTTAAGCATTAGAAAGGAAATATATTTCTGCTCTCTTTCGATTTTAGAAAAACAATAATAATGACCCCACTAGCTAAGAAATTAGTTCCACTCTAAGATATATACAGGGCTATTGTTTTAATAGAGAGGAATTAAATTCCTCTGTTTACACATATTGGGTTCAACATTTATACAACTGTATAATACGAAACACATTGAGTAAGATGTTTTTGCTTGGACTGTAATTTGTTGTTCTGGTCTGGTCTGATTTTATCTGGTTTGATCTGGCCTGATAATGTCTGATCTCTTTTATTTTTATAACTATCCAAGTCTGGTCTGGTCTGGGACGGATTACAGTTCAAGTAAATCAAATACTCCCTCCGTCCCCTTTTAAATGTCCCGAAAGAGGGTGACACGAGTTTTAAGAAAAGTTGGTTTGTGTGGTTGATATTAATTGTTAAAGTAAGAATAAAGTAAGAATGATTTTGAGCCACACAAACTTTACCAAATAAGGTATGAGACAATTAAATAGAGACATCTCAATATGGTAAAACAGGACATTTAAAAGGGGACGGAGGGAGTAGACATTTAATTTACTCTCATATTATTCCAAAATGCAAATTTTGTCTTATGTTTTTTTTCATAAATTAACAAAATACGGAGTAATAATTAATTCTCCCTGTTATATACTCCCTCCGTTCTTTATTATCTGTCCTCTTAGGTTTTGGCACGGGTTTTAAGAAGAAAATAGTAAGGGTAGTGTAAAAGGTGTAATGAGTAGTGGGTAAATGAAAAAGTAGGAAAGAGAAAGGGGTAATGGTAATAAAAGTGGGGGTATAAAGGTATATTTAAAGTAAAAACTTTCCTTAAATGGAAAGGAGGACAAATAAAAAAAACGTCCCAAAGAGGAAAGAAGGACTTTTATTAAAGAATGGAAGGAGTTCTGTTGTGTTTAATACGAAATAATTAAGAACATGTAAAGTTCCTTAAAAGAACAAAAGTTGTTTCAAAGAAATCACCAATAATTCACTCCGTTTGAAATTTTCAGTGTTCCCACTATAATTGCAAATTGAAAAAATACCAATAAAATGAAAAAAATTCCCTCCACAATTTTGGGTTCACCGCACACAAACCCTATCCCCTCAATTATTAGACATTTTGCCCCAGGCCCAATATTTCCCTATACCAACCGTAACAGAGTTCGTAAGCTTCATACGGTAGTGGCCTAATCTAGATCTCAAAGGCTGCTTGTTCTTCCGGAGGCTTCAAATGTAATAGAATTTCCGAGCAAAATTATGCATACTCTGTAATTAATTTCACTGGGTTCAGCCAGAAAGTCTTCTTGTATCTCTGTCGCTTCTCTGCTGTGTTCGTGTTGTGTGTAATTTCTTCTATCCAAGGTAAGTGTAATTTTCCAGATTTCTGCTACAAGTCCTTCTACGTATTGGCTATCTCATATTGGACCGTGTAGTTGAGAGCGAATTTATAGTTCGATTTTAAGAGTGATTTGATTACAATAAATATCAAATTTTGAATTTTAATTACTTGTAGCTTCTTATTACGGCCATATACTAACCATATTGTCTGGACCATTTAGGTATTATGCATTTGGAGACTACAAGGCGTAGATCTTACTTTAGATGGTGTAATATTTACAAATGAAGGAGAGTCAAATATTTGCCCAGAAACCCTTATAAATGTAATTAGATGGGCACTGATATCTATTTAAAGTACGTTGCGGTAAGGGGAAAATTAGGGCATGGGAAGAGTAGGTAGTATTATTAATTATTTCAGTATTTATTAACAAAATATTTAATCAAAAAAGCACTTGTTATTTGTCCGCAGAAAATTTGCAGCTGAGTTTTGGGGAGCTGAAGTGCAAAGCTGTAATGGGAAACCTCAAGATTTGTTGTTGAAAGCTTCCCGTGGACTTAAAGAAGGAATTGGAAACCTCAAGATTTGTTGCTTAAAGCTTTCAATGAACTTCAAGAAGGAATTAGAGTAATGATATTAATCGGAATGTGAATGGCCTCAAGATCGATTATCAATGTGAACTTATTTAATCTTTCTATGTGTTTATGGGCTAATATATGTAGCTTTTGAAATTAAGTAGTATAGTCACTCACATTTTGTAATATTGAATTGTAATTCCAAATTGATTGTATATTTCTAATAAAAAGTGGTATTTACGATGTGCTATATACGATTGTACGGTAGGTGTGTGTGTATTATATATATATATATA